TCAGGATTCCCAATAATTCATTCTGGATTAAACAAGTCATTTGATTAATTCTGTCATAAATCATGACTTTTTTTTCAAAAAAAAGCAGGCATCAAAGTGTACAAGTGTGAGATAGATGGGGGGGAACATCATGGATCACCTCTCCCCCTCCTTTAAAAAAATGTTTATTCAAACCCTTCAGAATGAGAGAAAAATATGATAGAGCGTCCGTGAGGCATTTAATCTGTAAAGGGTGTGGGCCAGCAGAGAAGGAAACTTGATTTTGTCTGGCTCATCTCTGTTGATTTGTGAATCTATCATGTAGCAACATAGATGGTAGCTGCCTAATGCAGTTAACAGGCCACTTTCATGGACTGAAGTGGATGTGTAGCAGTGAGAGGCCCAAGGAGGAACAGGGGGAGGGATGGAGAGTAGGATGTGGCTGTGCTGACTTGTGTTGTGGTGGGGAAAGTCAACAGGATGAAAATGCTGTTCAAAATTTTAAAAACACTCTTATTCTCAACCCCAGAAGCAGATTATAATGGGAGTAGATTTGTCACAGTGTCATGCAGACACTATGACCTGCAGTACTGTATTCAAGAGTCACTAGTTTGCGAATCCTGGCAATGAATACCGCATTTTTGACCCCATTACTACACAGTTAAGGAAAATTAACATAGTTGAACTGAAGTCCCTCTGAAATGATAGATTGGACCTGCGTGAATCAAGCCAGTCACAGACTGTAGCACAGAGCTGAGAGCACCTGAAGAAATCCATTTCAGAAATTGTTCTCGAAAAATTTATTTATTATTATATTATTTCCACAATAAATCCATTTAAAAAAAGATAACCCTTTTCAGATTGGACAACTACAGTTAAACAGAGAAAAACATCAAAATTAATTTTAAAATTGCAGTAATTCATTTTATTTAAAAAAAACTCAGCGATATTTCCATTTATCTAATTTATTCTTATCTGGTTTTGATTGAACTGTGGATGAAGCAGCGGGGGTGTATTTCCTGTTCCTCTCAGTGTGGGGAACACCCCAACATAAAATTAACAAGCTGTCATCGGGAAGCAATATTCCCAATTTGTATACAAGCTGACAGTCAAAATCCTGAAGACACAATGGCTTTCAGAACAGAGCTATCTATAAACATCTCTTTCTCTCTCTCTCTTCTCTCTCTCTCTCATGGATCCCAGACACTGCAGTATGTTAGAGAGCTTTTATTAACTCAGTAATTTACGCCCCTTCCAACATTTCTTTAGTTTTGTATATCTACACACTATGCCTAATATGCAGCAATTTCTAATGGAATTTTCAATAAGGAAACCTGAAGTAAATCATGTCACCTGACAGCAACACTGCATCAACACAATCTACCTTCGGAGCAGGGTTCTCGTGGGTTAGCGTGATGCGTTGAAAGTTACCTAAAGAGACCCCACACGGACACAAAAGAATCACTGTATCTTAGACCCAGAGTAAATCCTTTAAATAACCAACAAAGCTCCAATAGAAGAAGAAAGTTTCTCTCACATTAACGACAATTCACCAAAATACTATTTGATGTAAAGTGATACACTGGAGAAAAAGTAACTAAAACACAGGTCATTACAAGGCAGAGACCAGCCGCAAAGGGAATAGTTAGTAGAAGTAAGGGGTTTTCTCTGACTAGAAATATGACATGTTGATTAAATTACTTTCAGTCATGGTGAGAAAATAAACAGTTTAATTCTCCATTGCACCACATTTCACATCACCTGGGTTTTCTCACTGTAGGGAACTTCCATCCCTTGCCTGCACCTGCCTGAATGGCTTCCACCACATCCAGGGATGAAATTCCAGAGTGTACTCTATGCTGACATTCCTTGCAGCAGGTTATAATTGCCAAAGACTGCAGACGTCTAATTTTGTGTTTTAAGTTGGCATCCAACCCCTCCCTCCACCTCCAAGACATCAGCTTCCAGCCCCAGATTCTGTTTTCCCACAAGCTCTAGGCTAACCCCAATACTTCACCTGTGTGTCTGCTCTTCAAGTGTGAGTCCAGACAGTGAGTGTCAGCAGGTGTGCGACTAATTGATCATAGCCAAGCCTGATCCTGTTCTCATCCAACGCCCATATATGTATATATATATATATATATATATACATATATATGTAAACGTTTCAGTGGGAGCCATGGATAATGAGCAAGAAGTGACACTCTGGCTAATGTAAGCCTTCAAAACCTACATCCACTGAGGTCAATCGTAAATGAATGCCCCAGCTGAAATCAATTTTTTTGGGGTTCAGCAGAATGCCTGACACATCACCATGCTTAAGAATATCCAAACCAACCTGAGAGTTCCATGCATCTCAACTATACATGGAAATCCCAGAGATATATTGCTGGAGGGACGCATCCTGTTTACCCAATTCCAGATAGTATTAAGTGCAGGTCGGCACGAGCAAAGACTTTGGGGACTCCAGATTGTGGGTTGGGGAATTGGTGGAGCCTAACCATCTAAAAACGCATAGCTCGCCATTGATATTGCTGTCTGGTAAGCTTTTCCGCTGTTTGCAACAAACTCAGCACACAGCATTGAATTAAATCTGAGACTTTCCTGGTCTAATATGCATCAGTTGCTCACTTGGGCATTGGTTGGATCTGCTTCTTAAATATCTAGCCAAGCAAAATAAAATTTTTGGAATTCACCCCATACAGTTAATTCTGCTGCTTGTCCCGAATTGAGTACCTCTACTGTTTTAGGTTTCATCTTCCAAATACTGTATTTAAAGCACATGTTACAGAAGGTTTGTGGCTTTCAGTGAAAGCTATTTCCAAAGCTATTTCCACCCCCCCCCCCACTTGTTAAACACAGGATTTAGCTGGTTCCCAATGTCAGCATTCTAATGAGAGCTTTATGGCACCGATACATGAACTGTTCATTTAATTAAGTCAATTTAAGACTTCTTTTTCAGGATCTTCAGAGTCTAACTAGTGTATTCCAAGGTCTTTAAGCAGTCTACACATGTAAAAGGGGTTGGTACGTGTAGCTAGATTTTAGGCAAAATGAAGAATGGTTTGGTATTGAAGCTGGCTGGCAGGGGTGAGAGTGAATGTGGGGGGTGGGTTGTGGGGGGGGTGTGGCGTGGGGCAGGAGTGTTTAAACATGAAAAAATGCCCAGGCTGAATTGAGTGCAATGTATTACTTCTCATTCATTTCCAACATTAAAGATACATGTAAGGTGTTGCTGAGCTAAACCGATGGTTTGACCTGCTTGTGGGGTAATAGACTAATGTTAATTTCAATGTCTAGTGACCAATGTAAAACCTGGCCTTGGCTTATTTTTGAATATCCTCGTTCATTTATTTTAAGAGGTAGGAAAATAAAAATCAATTAAAATGGTACACTCTTACCGAGTATGATGGGAAGGATTAACCTTGCATGCTACTTTTAAATATAACCTCAACAAAGTTCATGGTGAAGTGACACAGAACATCCAAATATTCTGTGAATTGACAATAAATACCGCAATTGCAGCACAAATTCCACACAATCTACAGATAACTATATCCACTTCTTAAGTGAGTATCTGGGATGCTTTGATTTTGAAGGGAATTAATAATACAAATTCCATTCAAGAGGGAGATGCTCCATCAATACCATTTTGAAAACAAAACAGTTCAGAAAAGTTAACATGAACTTTGCCCCAATATTTCTTTCTTCCATCTGTTTTCGTTGCTGACTATTTGGGTTTAAACAGTGGCTGCCGATGACCTATATGGTCTGGAGGAGTCACTGAGCTTGACAGCACCAGGGAGCTAAATTAATATCAGCAGTGATACAGCCATTAACCCAGGAAATTCACCAATTACCTCATTACTAACCGTTCACATAACCCTGCTCCCTCCCTCTGACAGGCTCAGTACTGTATCCCCAATGTAATCAGAGTTCAAACAAAAACATTTTCAAATACCTGAGCAGAAATACCTAATATAAATTATTTAATTGTCAGGGTGGTTACAATAAAATTCAGTAAAAACTGGACGAGTCATAATTCCCTTTTATAGGGGTACTGACTATTGAGCCCCCCCGTATTGTGTCAAATTGTCAGTACTCGGGTGAGGCCCGCAGCTTAGTTTAATTTCCACATCCACCAGATGTGATACAATAACTTAATCTCATACTGGTTGATTGCTTTTGTTTCTCATCTCCTCCTCCCACTCCTCCAATTTTCTCACCTCCTCTCCTAAAGGTTCTGACTCATCCAAGGTACGTTTCAAAATGTGCTGGAGGCCCTCTTTTACCTCGACCAAGTCACCATTCTTCAAGTGTTAGCTTAGACAGCGAGTGTTGGCAGGTATTTGACCGTGAGGGATATCACAGTTGAGTCCGATCCAGTCCCAATAGTTCAACACACACAATTTTTCAGCAGTGAGAAGCCACTGATATCGATCAGGAACTTTGCCTGAATTCTGCTTCTACCTAGCCAAGGGGCACTGAAATCAGTTGACCACATAATTCAGGTTTAAACTCTGGTTTCCTTCTATGTCTGTGTTGGCTCAATTGTGCTCTGGGCAATGGCTTCATCAACTGAGCCATCAGAGGAAATGTTAAATATAGTTTTAAACTTGACCTGACTTTGTACATACCGTATATACTTTCTACGTTCTTCTGGTGCTGTGACTTCAGCTCCATAGTGCATTGTCGGGAAACATTAAAAATCTGGACATTTGTGACACATCTTTAAAAGAAGATTTTTGTTTCTATGCAAGAAAGCTAATTATTACATTCAATGCTCCAATGGCAAGAAAGTGAGGGATACAAATCTAGAAAAGAACCGAAAAAGGAAAATTTTTACTTTTTTTATAAAAAAGAAAATGTAAAGTCTGTGGTGATGGGGGCAGAGAAAGTATTACAAAAAAAACATTATAACACTGATTCTTTAGAAATGTTAAGACTTAAAATGATTGCCAGTTTCTGAGCAGGGAGGAGACACATTTTTGTATTTGTGCTGCCTTGTAATTATTGCCTACCTGATTGTCAGGGTGGTTCACAGTAAAATACCCCACACACACAATGACCTCGTGTAACAGGTCCTCACAGGTATGATGGGAGCAATACCACAGCAGTGAGCTGACAATATGGCGGAATGCCAGGGACAGTCCTTCTGCACCACACACAGCCTGCATATGAGAGAGACAGGGAGAGACAGATCAACATCAAATGCTTTTCCAATCCAAAAGAAGCTCGTGTCCATATGCAAACACTTGTGTGAGAATACCCCAACCCTCATAACCGGCAGACGGTCATGTATGGAATTGACATCCCTTTTCCCTCAACTCTCAATTTTCTTCTACACTTTGAAAAGATTTTGGAACTAAACAGGAAAATAATCTCCTCTCTCCAATTCAACTCAGAGCAATGCAAAGTATTGAGTCTCCTGCACCACACTTCAAACTAATGTGAGCACAATGCTTTACTCCCTTGAATTTGATGATCTAACTTAAAAAACTTGGGTGGAGAAACATAACCTTATGAAGGACAGATAATATCTGCAAAGCTTAAAGTCAATATTTAATAAACATGTCGAATTGATAGAACGACAGTGGGTCAAAGGTGACAAAGGGATTCAAGAATGAGAAAGTCAGGGTGTAGCAATCTTCTCAAAAGTAGTTCAGCCTCAGCGTTTCCACAAACGGCTTTTCCTCCAGCCCCCGCACTGTCTCGTGCGGTGTCCCTCAGGGTTCTGTCCTCGGTCCCCTCCTCTTCACTCTCTATATGCTCCCCCTTGGTGACATCATCCGCAGACATGGGGTTAAATTCCACATGTATGCGGATGACACCCAACTCTACCTTTTCTCCTCTACCCTCAACTCCACGACCACCGATGTCCTGACAGCCTGCCTGTCCGACATCGAGTCCTGGACGAGAGACAACTTTCTTCAGCTCAACGTGCGCAAAACTGAGGCCCTCCTGATTGGCTCGAGTCAGCGCCTCCGCACCTCAGTCGCTGACACCATCAGCATCCAAGGCTGCACTCTCCACCTCTCAAAGCCAGTCAGGAACCTCGGTGTTCTGTTCGACCCTGAGCTGTCTTTCTTCCTCATATCCGCGCCACAACTGGCACCGCCTTCCATCACCTCCAAAACATCGTCAGACTACGGCACTACCACACCCCTCACGCTGCTGAAACACTGTTCCATGCCTTTATCACCTCAAGGCTGGACTATGGGAACTCTCTCCTCGCCGGCCTTCCCGGCACCTCCCTCCACAAGCTGCAGGTCATTCAGAACTCTGCAGCTCATGTACTGTCCCGCACCAGGCTTCGTGACCACATCACTCCCACCCTCGCTCGTCTCCACTGGCTTCCCATCCCCCAGAGGATCGAATTCAAAATCCTCATCCTCACCTACAAGGCCATTCACGGCCTCGCTCCCTCCTACCTCTCTGACCTACCTGCCCGTACCCTCCGTTCCTCTGACTCCGATCTGCTCCACATCCCCCTCCCCAACCCATAACAGTCCATTTCTATTTTTTAATCCAAGGGGATCCACTGAGCTCTGCTGAGGTTGATAAAAGTTATTAATATATCCAAAATATTCTCACGTGGTAAGTGAGGGCTCCCTGAGGCTGAACTACTTTTGAGAAGGCATGTTGCGCAGAATCATCAAAATGGTTTAACAAAATACCAAAATTCGGACTCTATCTTTGGTTTTCATCAATGTAGGTGGAAGCAATTTCAGGGGCTAATTGGCAGATTATCAAAGGTGACTACAGCAAATAAATATCCCATAGATTTGGGCGGAAATAATAAAAGCTAACAATTGAGCATAAAATGACACACAGTCTTTTAATCAACATTTTTAGGTTATCTTTTGATTCTGAGGCCAAAATTAAAATAATGAGACTTGTTTTATGCATTTTTATTCACCGAGCCAACATGCTTATCAAAATGACTACTGCAGAGTAAGATTCACTGATGCAGGTTGTCTTCGTGACTTGAACTCCATGTGGATAATAAATAATAGTCCTTGCATTTGATATCTGATGGAATCTGACAGCGTAGTACTCTATTAAGTAGTGAGATGAGATGGAGGAAAGAACAGTGACTGGTGTTGCTTAGGTAACAGCCACCTCCCCCAACACAGGCTCATTTGGTAGTCTCTAAGACAGAAGGTTGTGGGTTCAAGCCCCGGACCAGGATATGAGCTTTTAATTCAGGCGGAGACTTAAGTTCAATACTAAGGGAGTGCTGCATCGTTGGAGGAACTGGCTTTGAGTTGAGATGTGAAAACTGCTTTGTGGATTCTGAAAATCTATTGTGAAAACAGGAAGTTCTCTTTGTGCCCAGACCAATATTCTTCTCTGCAATAAACTAAATGAATTAGTGATTCATTCATTACTGTCACCCCTGGTTGATTATCATTTGCATTTTATGGTGGATTCAGCACATATATCGCAACACATAAAAAAGTCAAAAAACAGTCATTCTTGTTTTTTGTTATAAAGTCTATTTTATGAACCAAAGAACTGTTTTGACATGAGTTGTTTGTTGTTTTACCAGTGTTTAATGCAGGGAGTCTGTCTCCATTACTCACTGAGAGTGCATTTGGCACTGGCTCCCATTTTAATTGCTCCTGTCCACCCCATGCTTTGACCTTGTGCCCTATGTCTAACCCTTAACGATATCAGGAAGGCAGAGGTCCCAAATGTTTGTGTACAAGAGGACAACTACTTATTGATGACCTGAGTTTCACTGGACTCAAAAGTGTGGAGGCAAAATCTGTAACTAATTTAGTAAACCATTGGGAAGGGAACCAGCAAAAACCCGTATCATTAACATTCACCAGAATAGTTTACCTTATGAAATATTCAGAGCTTCTTCTTGTTTTTGCAGAGAATCCTTAAGCAAAATAACTATGACATCTGACTATGTACAGAAATCATTCAAAAAGTGCCAGAATCACTCCCTTGATGACTCAGTGGGGAAGGAGACTCTGGTTGCTGTGGTACTGAGCCATGCTAATACCAGTAAGGGCAGAGTTAAGATAATCTCAGGATCGATTTGTTCCATGCTTTAAAATTGCACCCCTGTTGTCTGTTGGATAATAAAAGCATTTCTCACCTGGAAAGTTGGAAGATCTAGAAATGCGAAGCTGTTCAGGAAACGAAGACTCTGGATGGCAACGTGAATTGTGGGTTGTGTATAAATCTCTCCGAAAGTGGAGGTGTTATGATCGGCTGACGCACCGTGCAGAAGAATGCAGTAAAGCATGTTCAGGGCACCCACCAGTTCGGTGGACTGTAGTGCGGCGATCAGGCCGGTGGGATCCTGCCGTTTGTTTTCAAAAATACCCTGTGATCTGGCAAAAGAACAAAATGAAATACTATTGACCAGTGGAAAGTGCTGATGTGTCACTGGCTCCCAGTGCAGTTTTCATCATGTTATAATACGGTCTTCATATCAAAAATAATAATAATAATAATCCCTCCAAAAAAAACAATAATAAATTGGTCATTTTCAATCCATGACTGTTTGTGGGACATTACAGTGCGCAATTGGCTACCGCGTTTGCCCACAAATATACAGTCAATTCACTTTACAGTGTGTTCTGTGAAGCGCTTTGGGATGTCCTCCCGACGTGAAAAGCGCTATATCAAATGCAAGGATTATTATTATTATTATTATAAAAAGTCTCAAAGCATACAATGAGTTACTTTGCAGTTTAGTGACTGCTTTTATCTAGATAAATGTCCAGCAAAGAGCAATGAGTTGAAGAGCAATGGTGAAAATCATGAATCCCAGATCACCAAAGTCTGAAAAAAATTCCCCGCAGCATTTTGCCTGCCAGCCTTTTTGTGGGCTCTGCTGATTAACAATTCAGGATACATACATTTTGCAAATCGGAAATTGCGCACCAGAAGTTGCAATTCATGAAATCCATCAAACGTCAATCAAACTAGATCCCATAGAGAAAAATAAAATATTGCTATATGAGGCTCCTTTTAATACAGTACATCTGCTTCCTGCACTAGGCATGGGGGAGAGGTGACAGGCATCTCAAAGCTTTATGGCTTTGTGTAGTGGGATCTTTGGATTGATCTAGAGGCCGGTCCAGAGGTGCTTGATTCAGGAAACGCCTGGTGCTCTCTGCACATCTCTCACTGCAGGGAGAGGACATTTTTATATTGACACTTTCTCTCTGTGTACTTTGGACAATAAGTATTTCCACTAGTTTTAATGCACAACTCAGGCTGAGGCAGCTGATATACTTGGCACTGGATATTTTAACAAACCGTTATGGTAATTTAATTACAGAAAAAATCAAAGGGTGAGCCAATGCACCTACCCACCTACAGTGCAATTCCTTTCTGTTCAGCAATGTAAGTAACTAGAAATAATTACTTCCATTTTTTAAGGCTCAGCAACTCAGCAACAAATTAATCCTAGAAACATTTCTGTTGAAGATCTGTATGCTGCATTAGTATAAGTTGAGGCAGGTAGAGAGATGCAGAATAAATACAATTAGATTTATTTACTAGTCCCCTCCCCATGGCACCCAGTGAGCTGCAGGCAATGTTAGCCAATTGGCACTCAGTTATTTCCTTTAGAGTTGCACTTGATCAAGGTGATTTAATGTCAGCACTTGATGCCACTACCAGATGCTTCACTTCAAACCAGTTTGTCTGAGTTTATTTGATGAGTTTCAAATAGAGTTTGTGTTTGTTTAACACTGGCTTGCTTTAACTGGGGATGGAAAGGATATGAATTCATTGCAGAACCACCTTCAAAGCAACAACATTGGGATGAGTCTTGAAGCCTGAATCATTTGCAAAAAAGGCATCTTTGTACTTTCCAGGCATGTTCCTGGAACACACAGTGATTGCACTCCACAACAGAAAGATTGGCATGCAGCTTGTGGAGGAAGTGAATTTCTGTCTGGAATGCATGCCAGCTCTTGCAGCGATTTTATTGAGAGTGAGACTGATGTACAGGTGACAAGACAAAGAACTTCCCTTAACATTGTGCCTCCTTTTCCACCATTTTCCTGTAGCTGGAGCACTCGCCTCGCAAGCGAGAGACCCGAGTTTGATTCCCGGACAGGGCGAAATGTTTGGCTAGTTTCCTTACTCCACATGCCTCTCTGTTTACCTAGCAGTAAGTAGGAACAAAGTTGTCAGTCTGTTGGCGGATCGCTTTTCTGGGGGTAATGATTCCTTCTCAAAAAAATAATAATTTGGTCACTCAATGCACAACTGTTTTTTGATTTCTCCATCCTTTGAACATTTTATGTATGACACTTTTAAACACTATCCTCGCTGCAACAATAAATTATACAGGTCCAGATCTTCTGCAGGATGGTAAACCCGAGGTGCTGTAGCATACGAGTACATGGATGAGACTGCCATTGTGCAGAAGGTTAGCATAAACCAGTTGTGTCCTTGTATGAACTAAGGTGAAGCTGCAGTCTGCATTGCTCTGGTGGCTGGTTCAAGGGCAGCAGAAGCAAAGGGGCTTTGGAGTAGAGCACCTGCAGGACATGTTGCAGAGAAAGGGAATTAAAATTCATAAGAACATTACACCCTAAACACACTAACAGATCTATTTGATACACATCGCCTTGCAAGGAAGCTGCCCTTTTATACAAGTAAGGTTTCAATTAAAATGGGGCCACAGGAGCTGTGTGAACACTAAAGTCAGAAGCTATTAAGAGCAATGTGTGTTTCTTTGTAAAATTCTGTTCTAATCACCATCAAGTGCTTTGAATCTGCCTGTTTTACAAACGATGCAACATCTTCCTGTCATTAGCATCCATGCTCCTCATCACTTTTCTTTCCCTGTGCTGACAGGAGGCAGAAAACAATAAAATCTTTTTCAAAAACAAAAATGAATTCCATATTTATCTGCAGTCTTTTTTTAAGAAGGAATTTGAGTATCACAGATAGGAATAGTTAGCGTTTCCATGAACTGACCAGAGTTCAAATAGGATTCTTTGTTGCATTAAGAAATAATAAGAATAATCCTTGCATTTTATATAGCACCTTATCACGTCTTCCAGACGTCTGGAAGAGCTTCACAGGATCTACTGTAAAGTGAATTGACTGAATATTTTGTGGGTGAATACTGCAAATTAGACCCCTATGTATACAACTGCCTGTACATTTCTGTATCCTGGTGTCATTCTGATGGTTAGATGATGCTGTACAATTATTACTGTTCAATTATTATTCTAGATGGCTAACTCTTCCCCTTCCACATGTCAGTCAAACAATGAGCAAACATCTCAAATACTACAGTGCACGGTCTACATGTGCTCACCTGTCTCAATGACATTAAGCCATTTGGTGTGTATACTGGCAGTGGGAACCCAAAGAGAGAATTCAACCCACACACAAAACCTCCTGTACTCATCAAATATAAAAAAGCAGATTCCCAGAGTGATAACTCACCCTGAGGTTCAGATAATTGTTATAAAGCATTCCAGATGTGCTTCTGTAGTTTACACCAATTGAACCAAATTGGATTATATCTTGAAATGCCTCCCAGATAATTAGTGTTCTCTATATGAAGCATGTGGACCCCAAGATTAGGATACACCTTGTAATGGTTCCCAGGGTAGCCAAACACTCTCTCTGCACATCATAGGAACCCAGGGATCAAGTTACATCTTTGTAATGATTCCCAGGTAAACAGCGTTCACTGAAAGGCATGAAATAATTTATATAAAGCATTTGAACCTCCGCAATCAGATTACTCTCTTGTAATCACTTCCACGCATTTATTATTCCTCATGCAATCTCAGTTATGCAAAACAAACAGATACGATACGGTAACAATTACCCTCCCAGTATTAGACTAGATGGGATATTGGAAGTCATGGTGAGATAAGACTGTGCATCAACTGTAACACGAACTCCCAACAAATGACCTTGAACAGCTGTTGGGAATGTGGGACTAGAAATACAGTGCTGTTTTCTGCCAAAGCTCAGGGAAAGCAAAACAAGATCAGGCGAGAAATGTCTAAAGCAAAATAAAAAGCAACTCAAAGTATCAGAGCTGATGTGGAGAGTCCAGAACCATCAAAAATGCATCGATAAAACAGCTGCTTAGAATCACATTTCTGAATGTTGAGCCATAATCATAACACAATAAACTGCAATGCATTGTATATGTATGTATTCACTGAGGAAAGGGTAATACGTTTGCTTATTAATAAAGGAATATTTTAAGAAATTCATACTTGGCTCCTCTGTGGAACATTGCAAACCATCCATTCTGTTCAGTAAACAGTGCAGCAGACATGCTGCAGTCATATCAGTTAAAGGGATCCCCTTAAAGAATGTCTGCTCCACAATGCTGGTGCCAGTGGAAAGTGCAGGCTCCTTGTTTGTTTCCTCTTTCCCAGTCTCTGGCAAGTATTTGCAACAAATACAGTTTACAGATACGGAGCAGATATAGTTAATTCTGTTAATGATTCAGTTAATGTTAACAAAATCCTTCCATCCCGTGGAAGTCAGTAAGGAGCGTCGCCCAAGAATTTCAATGCTCTAATTTTTTAAAATATAAAAATAAGGTAAGTTAACCATGTTTTAAGTCTCTCAGTGTCACAGACATGTTTACCTAAAGGGGTTTTGCAAGTCAACATTAAAGATCAGAGGTCCTTCATGCCTAAGACTTATTTTCTATTTAAATAACGGGATTGGAAGCAAATCTATTAGATGGAAGCTGCTCATCTGAATTACAACTTAATGGTTTGTAAGTCTGTAAATAGAAAGTTGCAATCAGCTCTGGTTTACAAATGCACATTTACAATACCAATGTTTTTAGATCCAGTCATTCAGCACAGATATCAAGTGACAACTCTCACGCTTATTGTTCATTAACTTCAAGTCCATTTGTGGTTTGAAAATAGCCGTTTGGCGCTCAAACAGTTAAGCAAGACAAAACAAGAAGACTCAAGTGGGCACTGCAATTAATGCACTGGACACTTAGCTCAGTATTGCAACTGCATTACTATCTGTTCCTATCCGTCAATGGGCTTAAAACTTAGAGTGTAAATATTTTCTTACAACTGACTGTTTGGAATGCAATCTTTGTTCTTTGTCTGTCTGTTATTTATAAACATGACAACATCATTGAAAGAAACAGTGATATAGATAATATTCTCCACCATGTAAGATAACTATTACATCACCCACTGCCATAACCTTTTGCCACTCCACATGATCAGCAGTTCATTTTGTTTTGAAGGAATTAGCCTCAGATCAGCTATGTCTGTATTGTCCTATAAATATGACTGTAAGATGACTAATCAACTGCTGAATGACTCATTAGTTCCTTCAGATAATATGGTTGTAGCTTCTTACCATCAGCTCTACGCTGTAGTCATGTATCACAAAAAGAACCCCAACATTCTTTTTCCTGCTGTGTGTATTGGTCCAACACGCTCACAAAATCACAAGTTGTTCAGATAAAGAAGCCTTTCTGTCCTTTTAATCTCACACTTCCCAAAAATCCAATCCTATCTTCTTTGCATTTAAATGTACCTTAAAGACCTGTGTCCTGGTCTGAACCACCCTTCTTGGTAACCTGTTCCAGCTATTTATTACACTCTGTGAAAAAAAAACTTCTTACTATCTGGATCCAAGTCCTTTCTTTCAATCTCCTAAAGAGATGGACCTTTCACACAGAACTGGCCATTATATGAAACCCTCTGTCAGGAAAGAGCCAAAGAAGAACTGCTGCAGAAAATGCTTTTCTCCATCTGACATTAAGTATGATCTTTGGGGTAAGCAGAGCTTGATTTTACGCATGGTCATACCAAACATAATTAATGGTTGGAATGTGGAAATCTGAATTCTCTGCTACTCATTGCTAACACCGAGTCCATCAACTCTTTTAATGAGAATTAAGAACCCAATGTTGCTTGAAGAGGAATATTAAAGAGAATGGCGAATATCACGAGATTGGGAATAGATTAGGTGGCTCATGCGGAGAAAAATACCAGCCTCATTGGGTCCAATGACTGTTTCTGAGTTGTAATATTCTATGATTGTATGTGTGCCCAGGGAGTGCTTACGGCTGATACTGTGGGAGGCATATTTCACTTTCTGGTAGGTTTAACAGATTTTATTATCTTAATTTACAATGGGATTTTCCCATTATGAGGGGATTTTCAAATTACACATAAAGAGCTTCAAAGCCATGAGATTTAGCAGCCACAGGATTATCTTCGCCCAAGTGCTCAGAATGGAAAAGTGTTCTATTCTCGCAGTGCCTTGCCTTGATGAAAACAAAATTGCCACATTCGTACCTCTATACCTACATAAACACATATTCTGTCTCGGAGGTCTGCATAATACAATATAAAACACTTTGCGAAAGTAACTGGAAAAAGAGTGGACCCGAATTGATTTGAGTTATGCCCAAATTGTGGCCAGAGACCAAATATCAAACTTTAGTACTTTCATGGATTTAATAATAATATTTGCATTTGATACAACACTCTGACACTTTGAAATGTCTCAAAGCTGCAAAATGAGTTACTTTGAAGTGGAGTGGCTGTTACTGTGTGGGCAATTGCAGAACCACTAAGGATAGCAGCACAATACTGGTTACTCTCTGGTACCTGGTCCAAAGAATCCATGCGTGTGTAAAATGATAGTAAAGGTTGGCAGGCAACTTGACCAGGGAAGGAGACATCAGACCTGAGCCCAATCACAGTCCACATTTGCATGCACTTCCTATCAAAGGTCACTGGATGGTGATTAGGAGTGGCTCATTTTCTTCTTCCCTAGCCAAAAGACATTGAGGCCAATTGCACTGCCTGAACTGCTGTCACCGCTGAACTCAGCTATCTTAGCACCGAACCAATGAAACTTTCTGCTGTCTTTACACACATGACTGTCAGGAAAGCCTGCTGTTAGAAATATTCAAAGACTTCCTGATGTCTTCAGAGACATGTTCTTGTATAATTGAGACACCTACCTGTTGAGGACGGCAAAATCCAACCTGCACAGACCATGTAGTAATGCAGTAGTATTTTGTAGAAAGGAGGCAATCTTAGGAAGATCATCAACAGGTCCTTGTATGGATAAGAAGCAGCCATACAGCTTGTCGATAAGTCCGATATATACTACATAGCTAGAAAGAAACAAAAATAAATATTAGTACACACCAGACGATCATCAAGTTTTCTCCTCGTGAAATTGGGTTATATTTTCAAATGGCACAAAAATTGTCTCAAAGGTCGATGTATCATACCAGGCTGATATTCCATTGCAGTACCAGGGAAGGCTGCATTGTTGGAGGTGATGTCCTTCGGATGAGACATTAAACCAAAGACCCATATGCTTATTTTTCAGTTGAACGTTAAAGATCCCTCAAGACTATTTGAAAAGAGAACAAAGTTTCTCCCGTTGTACTGTTCTCCAGATTAAATGATCATGCACCTCATGACTGTATGTGGGATCGTGCAGTGAGTAAAATGACTGTCATAGCTGCACCCCAAAAATGGTCACTGCATTCGACCACAATTACCGTAAAGTGCTTTGAGACATTCCAATAGGGTGATGCGCTACTAAAAATGCTAATTCTTTCTTCTCAAAGGTTTAAGCTTACTCTGTGTACATTACATCTGCCCTTAAAAAGTCAATGAGAAGTCAATCAGCAACCTGAATTTAATACTTAGCCTATCTTTGCCAACTAGATAGTTGTAGGTTTAGACTCCTGGACTGCACCTCACTTGAACCTCTCTTCTGCCTCTCACAATGTATTTAGTGCTCTGAGATGCTACCCTCCATGAAGGGCACTGTATAAATACAGGCTGTCTTATCTAGTGTCTTCCTGGCCAGACTGTTCTGCGAAGCAATTTTAGGAACAAATGTGCAATATTCCACTCCCTTTAAAGGAAAAGATGGATTGACTTGGTTCCCTAAGGGTATTATAAGCAAACCTCTCAAGCAAATTGGAAATAAAATGGGCATTTGTTCCCAACTCCTGCTGCCTTAAAAAGTAGCCTGCAAAGGCACAGTAAGGCAAGCGCAGCGACTGAACAATGCTAAATAAACGAGCATGGGCCACATCGAACAAAAAATTGCCAGATGAAGGATCAAAGTCTTTCAATTTAAAAAAAATGGTATATAAACACGAACCAGTGAACGGCCCGAGGTCAGTGTTAGGGCTTTAGCTTTCTGCCAGTCTGCTGTATGAAAGAACAGTTCTGTATCTGAGTGCATTCATCATTTGGCTATCGTCTCATCTCCCATTGCGGCCTCCATCTGTGGCAGTGCACATTTCCCCCAAACTCTTTATTAAAACAATCAGTTGAAACAGTATTTGTTTAATAAAAGGTCTACTTCTGAGATTGCAGACAGTGGAGGACTGGGTAATGTGGGAGGTGAGGGGGAGGGGAGAGGAAAAGAAGGGTTTGGATAAAAAATGTGATGAATGACTCTTGATTGACTTGCAACAGTCGCCCTCCCTCCCCTTTTCCCAGTTAACCACCAGCTTGTAATAATACTTTAAAACTGGAAAACACATTGATTTGGCTGAGATACAGCCTCTATTTACTACTATAAATCCTGTGAATTAACTTTTAGATTGCCAATGGTTTAAATGAGACCCACATCTGGATCAGCACTTTATTGGCTCCAGGATAGTAGCTGGATCTAAAACAATACCTGGAGTACAATGTTTGTCCTGATAGCATGTGTAGCATTGAAATCACTTTCCCCACTAATCAGTGGGTGTCTAACCTTGCACCCTCCGCACACAAGCCCACTGTAGAATTAATGAGCGAACAGGTCATTGGGCTGGTGCCCATTGGTTTCTCAAACATATGAAGGACTGTTGCACACAAGCAGACACCTACGTTCAATGTATACCAAATGTCTGTACTAAAGTGGCACACTCAATGCATCCATGCAGGAATGACAGTGCATGCATAACACTGAACATATGCTCGCACACACACAAATTTGCACAAGTCACATACAACACAGTTCACAAAGATCTGCACACATGTCTGTACATATGCAGTGGTGGTGTGAGCTTCATAGGAACTACTACTTCACTTTTCACTAGTTATATGTATTGCAACACGGAAATATTAAGTATCAGCAGCCAGAGACTATCATAAGCTGGAAATAAATCCAGTCTTTTATTTAACGATTAGTTTATCAAGCAGCTTTCAGAACATGTCGAGAAACATTAAAACTAATATTTAATCTAACAATAATTAAACATTATTGTAGAGAAATGCTGAATAACTGATCCTACATTAAATATGGAATAAGACAGCAACTGCTTTTCTCCACACAATTTAGTGGAATAAGATCGGAAGACACCAACTTGGGATTCATTCAGCATGTATTATGGAGGAACAATATTGTGGTAAATGTAAAAATAGAAATTGGGGCACTTTCAGTTAAACATTGACGTTCATCAGGCAAAATAGTTTACATTTATTTACTATCCTACATTGATAAAAATATATTTAGTTGACAAAGGAGAACAAGAGTCTGAAACTGCTTGAAAGGATTAGTTATCTTTCACTGTGCACAAAAGCTTAGATTTTTCACAGAGAAGCTTCACTATTTAATGCAAAACACTACCCAGTAATTTGTACCCAAAACACCTAAAAGGAAACCCGAACCTCTCACTGGCAGGTAGCCCCTCCAGCCAGACTTGTCATTAGAACATTCTTAATTTGTCTATTTGCGACGGAGTCAAACTACATTCTCTCACTGGCCACGGTCTGCAACAAATCACTCCTAATTGCATCCTCACCCTGTCACGGTTTCAATGGCGATCCACCCCCTGCCCATCCCTTGCAGTGCCCCAGGTGGTAGACAGGCTCAGCTTACCTCTGCTAAGTTTATCTTCCTTCGGTCCACCTGACACCTTCCCATGTCCTGTGCAGCACAGACTCTTCAATCAGCTGACCTTGCATTCATATTTTTCACCCTCTGCTTCCTTTTGCACTCAGAAGCTTGTTTGAAATGCATGTTGTGATGCTTGTGTGACTTTTTGCACGATTTATGACTTAAACCATTGTACTGAAGGTAAACATCCAAAGAACAAATCAACAGTGCAATAATGCACTGGCCACTAGTGAAGGACAAATGCATTACAATTGCATTCAGCCATGCCTTGGGGAGCACTAATATACTCTGTAATGCCATTGGGAACATCATTGGGTGGAATTGTTGTTATTGGGAGGAAGCACTAATACATGTCTATGATGGGAAGTACAAATGCATTTTGCCATGCCATTGTGAATAGAATATTGGATGAAAGCCCTTCACCCCATTTGATTTATGTGGCACTGGTCAGTGTTGAATTATTCCTGTTTATTGAAATAGGTTTGCCCACAAAATATATAGTCAATTCACTTTACAGTGTATTCTGTGAAGCGCTTTGGGACGTCTCGAAGACGTGATAAGACACTATATCAAATGCAACGATTATTATTATTATATTCTGATGCATTATGAGGAGAACAAAGAGGTTCCTTTGCTGGAAAGTGGTTGTATGCACGCTGGATGTCAGGTGAGGATAGCACTGGACTCAGTCACAAAACCACAAAATAGGCTGCCAAATCTCATTGTTTAGGCTCCCATATAAAGAAGAGCCACCTGGTGAGATATCAGAGACACACACGGTGCTACACCCCAGCATGGGTCAATGCCATCACAGAGAAGAAGGTGAGAAAAGGGGGATACATTGGCCAAAAAACGATTCATCCAATAGAAAACTTAAGTGCCTGAATGGGACTGGTTTATCAATGTAAATTCGGTTTGGGCTTTGGATGTTTTTAGACATTTCCTTCCCTCAGGCTACTCAGTCACCTTACTCATTTCTCACCTTACCATAGAATCAGTTGCTTATTCTGTTCGAACTTTGACATCAGCCTTCCTGAATGCTCTTGGCTATGGCTCATACATTACTTGAAACTAACTTCACAGAAGACACCAAACAACACTGAGCAAAGATCACAATGGCGAAAGAGGGTGGAATAATTACAGTTCAATTTTTTCCTTTGTGCACTATTCAAAGACTATCCCTTTTCACCCTAAATTGCTTTGCTTGAAAGAAACAGAAGTTCGGAAAGTTTCTTTTTTTTAAAAAAGGTACACTGACTTCTTGGAAACTCAGGAGAATTTAACATGCTAGAGTAAGTTAAATACATAAATAACACATTTTCAAATAGTACATTACAAAGTCTGTGAATCAGATATACTATCAGTTTGAAGAATTCTATTATTCTATTGCTTCACTTTGAGAAAAAAAAGTTAACTTAATACAGACCAAGGATCAAGCCTGCAACCTTGTGGCTCTTTGTTACATCCGTGGTGCCTTCAATCACTAGATTTTAAAGTTGTGTCAGTAATTTCTGATTTTTCCATTGTGTCAGTAATTTAGGTTCTCTCTGCCTGGTGCTTCACATGTACTTGAATGGGCACAAACCCATGCCTGCTAATCACTCCTCATTCCAAATTTACCTCAACAATTGAAACTAACTGGCTATTTGTATTACTTTTAGGATGTTATTGGGTGTCTTTAACCCCATTTCATTTCTCATTAATCTCATTATGTAAAAAGCTTGGAGACATTTAGTTTACTTGAAAGTCACTGTATATTTTTTATACAGGTTCAAATAAGATTTGTCTTAAAAGCAGCCACAACGTCAACATCACTGATCTGTGAACGATCTTTGCACTGCAGGGTTAAGAACCAGGTCATTGTTACTGCACATTCTTTGGAGAAATAAGGCACGATTGATTTTTGGGAATTTCTGCAATGAGTGAATAATGCGAGAATGAAATGTGTTACCTTCAAATAGTCAACTCCCTACGTAACAGTTAATCATTTAACTCACCTAATCAGATCCTGCACTCTGTTGCTGTAGACTTCACTCTGTGAGCAGTTGTTCTTGGTTTCTTGGAGAGATTTCTTAGGTGTGCCAGGCTGACTGCTGGCCTCAAGGAGATTGGTGGCCAGGCACTCAAGCACAGTGGCACATGTTTGGAGCAGTCCGGTTGTCAGTCCTTCAAATACTTGCTTGTTCACACTTTTTCCAAAGCTGGTTTCATCTTCAGCAGGAACAAAGATCTACAAAACCAAAGCAAACAAAACAGGAGAATGAAACAAGATTCTACAGCTTCCATAATAATAATAATAATAATCCTTGCATTTGATATACCGCTTTTCACGTCAGGAGGACGTCCCAAAGCGCTTCACAGAACACACTGTAAAGTGAATTGACTGTACATTTGTGGGCGAACGCAGCAGCCAATTGCGCACAGCAATGTCCCACAAACAGTCGTAGATTGAAAATGACCAATTTATTATTGTTTTTGGTTTTGGAGGGATTATTATTAAGTAAGTAAGTTTAAGAGGAACTCAAGGTTAATTAGAGCATTTAGAGTATAATATGAATTGCAGCAGATTAACTATCAACGTTATTGGAGATATATGTACTGCACCTCTTTAATATGTGCCCTTCAAAAATTGTTTTCAAAAAGCTTTGATCAACACCATGCTCCAGAAAGGTGACTCTTTCCTAGGAGTGAGATCTGATTGCTCTATCCCCAGGAAAACCTCAGTACAGTATATGGGTGAATTTCTTTACAGTGAGAGAATGATACTCAACTTGCTGCTTCTGACATGGTAAAGCGCGATATGTAATGCAAAAATGCCACCAACTGAGCTAAGCTGACATTTTAAAAGTTCTTCACAAAGATCAAGCTATCAAGCACACACTTTGCTTATGTGTGGTGTTTACCTCTGCCCTTCATCGTTGGCTCCTGCTCCACAATTGGCAGGAACAGAGAGCAAAGTTCAGGAGTGAGTCCCATTTCAAATCACATTCAACTTGTGGTGAAAGCGTTGGGACACCATTAGGTACCAATACAGCTTCTGCTCAAAGATTTGTTTTTATATGTCTAAGATATGTCTAAGATAGCCTGGCAATCCTCAATATAGTAAATTTTAAATGCTAACCTTTTAACAACTCATTACTGTAACAATAATATAATGAAAACAAATGCTTTAGATTGATCATGATTGTAGGCCTAAAGCGTACACAATGGAGCACATGTTTTTAGACTTTCCTTCAATGCAAGCTGGTCATATGCTGAGAACAATTTCATACTAAACACTTTCTTTGAAAAAAGTGGAGGCAGGTTTCTCTAATATACAATGAAATTCTGATAGCATGTTTACATTCATAATATGTTATTTAGCATTTTAAATTCCACTACAGTCCTGAATTAATGCCCAGAGTCAAAATTTGCGAATTGTTTCAAACTGAGCACATGTAATAAATAAGTTGAAGAAGTTATAAGTACTGAAATGTGACCGTTAAACATTCTTATTTTCAGCAGATGCTTTTGATTGTGCATGAGATGAACAATGGGATTAGATTTCAGTGTACTCTCGTTCCTAGTTCAGCACTCAATCGACAGAATTACAAATATCTTAATATTAATCAGTTCTATACACCTAGATTTTGGCATGTTTTTCACCATTCTTTACAGTGACCTGTATGGAACCAGTGCTGGGACTGCCTTGCAAGACCTTTTATTAAATAGAGTACATCCAATTCCTTCTTGCAAATCTCTTAATTTGATTTCACCCAATACTCCTTTCATGATCTTAAATAGGTAAAGACACATACATGTCTTCAGTACCCAAAGCATCTGATCATAAATACATGCCTCACCTTTATTTATCTGGTCACTAAGACATAAGGGGCTGCCCAGGGTCTAAAGGCATTACACAGGAAAGCAACAACGATGAAACCCATTTTTTTGAGGAATGAGCTATGAGCAATGATTAGACCGAGTAAGGCTCTTCAGTCTTGATCCCATGGCACCGCATTGAAGAATCATTACAACCATAACTGCATTGAACTCACCATTACAAGTTCACTGCTGATAACATGAGGCAACTTAAATACAGGGCAGGTGTAAGATTTATCCAAAGTGGGCGTCTTGTGTTACAGTTTATGCTGAATTGGTTGAAGTCTCACACCTGGAAGCCATAGAGTATCTCATCACTTGTCATGGAAAATTATTTGCTATTTAGAATTGCCCACTGGCACTGGTAGATTTATACTTCATTGTTGTAGCTGTTTCCTCTAGAAACCCTGCACATGACTTATCATGTAAACAACAGTGAAATAAAACCAAATCCCTCCTTCAGCCTCTACGCCCCAACCCTCTGGAAATATCTCATTCAGCCCCCGCCCCCCACCCATCTTGTCATCTCTCTACTAATCTTCAAAATTTGCCTGAAAACAACCTTATTGACTGTGCTTACAGTCACCTCTCTCCCATCAGACCCTTAACTTCAGTCGCACAAATCATACGAATAAAACATGCAAGGTCTGTTTTAAGTGTATAAACTCAATGCGGTGTTCAGAAGCTGTTAAATAAATCAGTTGAGCTTCATTTTTTAAGATCATGATGCCTAATCCAGCTTCCATGTTATCTATATATATCACTGTGTCTCAGCCCATTCAAATTACTTTTTGTACAATCTGTTTTGGGCGTGTAGTGCATGAAAGGATGCGATAATGTAAGACAGAATCATCATTCAGAATAGGTCTACAGAGAAGATTAATTCATAGTTATACAAATACATCAACAACATTTGTCATATTGTCAATAGAATTGTCTTAATTTTTCTAATAGTACAAGATATTACTTTTAATCTCAAATAAATATCAATCATCTGCTCCATACAAGCAGGAAGAACTAACTACAACTTAAAGCTAGGATCAGTATTAGTCGTTGCGTTGATATATTCCTCCTTTCTCCTTTTTTTGGTGAATTGTTGGGGATAAAACCTAGATAGTATCAACTTTGCTTTATTTTTTAGACTTAGTATCCACGTTTTGGTATATTTGATCCATTTTGCTGAGGAAAAAATGTTGGCCTGGCCACTGGGAGAATTCTGGGTAGAATAATCAGCTCTTCAGTAAAAGGTCATCAGAAACACATTTAAGGAGCTGAGGCTTGAAATTCTTAAGGCTCTTAGGCTCAAAGCTGTTGTTTTAAAATGCAACTTCTTTGGGGGCACTGCAGAAAGCCGGCTTCTAAATTAAAACCCAATTTGAGAGCGTTTTCTAAAATTCCTCACAATATTAAATTTTAAGACATTGGTCTTAAGCCAAAGAACATGAGAAATTCGGGGTGCCTGACCAGCAATATTTTGTAATCTATGTAGGCAAAGAGCTAATAAATAAATATTTTTATTAGCCATTATCCCATTTCTGTAGCTAAAGAAATGGATGATACTCAGCTGTTTGGCATTCGTGTGAGCTCTACCGCCTGTGAAGTGCTGAGTGACAACCTCCTTGTGTGTAAGTAGCCATTAAGTCTATGTACTGGTCCATTCACTGGGGAAATGGCAACGTTTTGGCTGAAATACCATCAGACACATAGCTTTCACTCCACTTAATTAAGTTCAATGCTTGAAATACTTTCTATGCAGGGCAAGTGATTGTGGTGCTGAAGTAACTATGACGTTTTCAGAAATGAGGTGAAATGTCTTTTTTTCAATATCAGGAAACCCTTCTCAAGTCTCCATTTAATGGCCTTTGTGTGCCTCAAAGCCCCAGCGCCTTGTTTATTTTTATACCAGCTCTTCTTGTTAATTATTCAATACCTATACATAGCTTTTCAATTACAGTACAACTTAACTCTGGAAATTACACGATTCCAAATAAAGTGTTTCTTTTCAACTGTATGACAACATTTTTTTGACATTCCCCGGAAAAGTGACATTGAATTTAAAGATCCTCTGTTCCCTTGGTAAGACTGCTGAGAGTCCATTTGGGCTTAGGACAAAAAAAAAATGATTTACTCTTAACCCTTCTTTCTGGACATTTACACCAGCTCTTCCACCTTCCATACACATCGATTTACAGAGACTGTATGACAAGAAAACAGTCCATTCAGCCCAACTCGTCTGTACCAGTGTTTATATTCCACAGGAGTCTACACCTACTCCTTACTTCTCCACACACTCACTCTTCTATCCCTTTCTTCCACATCTGTACGTCTAGCTTCCTCTTAAATTTTATGATCCTTTGTGAATCCAGGTTCTGTTGTGAAAAGCACAATTTCACCTGCATACATATGTGCCACCACACCCACACCCCGCCAACAAACATTCAAATAGTAATATGCGTCATGGCACAGAGGCTATAATTCACAAAGAAAGGTTCAGATAAAGATGGCCCTTTAACCCACTTGATCTCATACTTTCAGAATAGCAAATCTACTGTTTTCCTTTTACAAGATCAAGCTGTTTCTTGAATAATTATTGTGGGAGTAGAGATGGCAGAGCTGGAAATTTTGGTGTTAAATATGAAAAGACACATCTGCTTTGTCAAACGGCCACATGGAGAAGAATCACCATTTATAATTATGTAGGTTACAATTATCAGAGTATCACAGAATCCACCTGTCTTGCCTAAAGGTACAGAACAAGTGGCTGAAAATAAACTTTCCTGCTTCTATGTAAGAAACAGTAACCCTTTAGAGACTGTGGGAACTCAGTCAAGCCCTCAGGCCCAATACCCTTCTGATCACACGTATGTCTCCCCGCCAGCAGTGGTCACTGGAAAACAGTCAGAAGTGAGACCTCAAGTTGATTTTCCCCCTTCCATAAACTGTGGTGTTAACCCAGAGCAAACCATGGACCGATTTATAGTCTGGATGCCTCACCTACTGATTGGATAAATATGCTGAACGATGACAAGAACAGCAAGAAGTTAATTTTAGATGAAAGATAATTGTTACTCCAATTTCTCATGTGTACATGTGATAGAAATACACACAGCAAAGTAATATCGCTGCTATCAAACAGTGGAAGGTGTTTTGGAATTAAACTGGGTTTACCTCCTGACTCCCATCACAGAAATCATAGTTTCAGATGGGCTTGACTAGCGAAGACAATCAAAATACGTAAGTAAAGGTGATTTTGATTTTGAAACTTAATGTACCTTTTACTCCAGACAGAAAATGTTTGACTTTAATGTTCAATTATCATGTTTTAATCCTCATTAGCACATGAATATTTGTTACTGTTTCTAGTGATAAATGTCCGTTGAGTTCATTTTGAAATATTAGCAAAACCTTACTAGAAATGTGGTTGGTATTATGAAATAGAACTTCAACACATCCCCCCACACCCGCCCCATGGCAAGCACAATTTTGTCCACATGTGGATCTACAATCAAAGCTGTGTCATCCAATGCACCAAGAGAAATTAAAATATAATATAACAAGTGAAAAATGTATTAAAAAAAAGGCTGAGCATCTATCCTATATTGTGGGATAACAAGTAAAACTAGTAGTTAACACCTGTATGAAGTTAGTGATTATTTTAAAACACCAATGAAAAACACATTGTAGATATTTCAAGAGAGACATAACATTGGTTGGAAAGCCCAAAATTGCCACTTTTTCCGGGACCATCAAGTGTTCTTTTTCTCTCCTAAATTAAAATACCTGGAACGTTTTAAGCATGAAGTATATTGGACTTTTTTAAAAAAACAAGATATAGTCTAGATAGGTCAAAGCAAAATGGATGCACATGGGATCAATTTAGAAGTACATTTGATATTTAGCACATCTCATGTACCTGAATGTGCCATAAGGGGTATTCCTCTGGTAAAATTCTCAGCGGTGATACCCATGGACATCTGTTTGCAAATTGTGGCATTATGCTTAGTGGTACATAAGTGTTTTGAGTTTTGTACAGTGTATAAAAGCTACCAATTGATAGTCAAAAATCAGGCTGAAAGTTCAATGGCTTCACAGATGTCAACAAGGATAACAATGGGGGAGGGAGGTGCCTAAAACACACACACACACACACACAGATATTGAATACACTTCTAAATTGTACTCCATGGTCTCAGTTCAGTTTTCACATTTGTAAAATTGCCAGGCACAATAACAGAGGCCAAAGCTACTACAGTGTTTAAACAAGTGGACAACCACTTATAAAATAATATCAATGTTATTTGTATGGGCTCTTACTGTCAACTGATGCATCAGTAGCTCCATTAAGAAGGTGATCTTGTTACTGAGCAGAACATAGATGCAGTTGTCATAGCAGCCATTGCAGGCAAAGCAGTATGCATTAATCACATTGCACAGGGATCTGGAAAATGACAAGAGAGCGAGTTAGAAAGCATTCCAAAAGCTATACAGAACATAGTTAATAAATACAAACAAATGGTTTGGCTGCAAGACAGAAACAATCATTTTAGGGTCATTGATAGTTTTCAATGTTGCACCTTTCCCTCCATTCCTCCAAATCAATTCTATACTTTAACGAAAAAAATCAGATGGACCAAAACAAGGAGGCAATTGGTTGGAGTTTGAATTCTGTGTACAGGTTTGTTGACATCTGTGAAGCCATTGAGGGAATGTTATAAAACAACACAAACGGTGCAGAGCAATGGTGTTGCCAGGGATGAAACATTATGAAAAGAGAATTGAGAAGCTAAGGCTTCATTTACAAGAGATGAGAAGGTTTAGGGGACAACCTCTTCCTCATCTCCAGTCAACTCAGCACAGCAAAAATAGGATGTACCTTAGACAATATTCATTTTTCAATATTATTAATGGAATGCATACCCTGACAATTACCTACAGAAATGTAAAGCACAGATGTAGATCATTTGGTAAATCATGCCTGTGCTGGCTCTCTGAAAAGGCCATTTTATTTAATTCTCCTACATTTATAATGTATATTTTTATATTCTCCTTCATAATATTTATCTAATGTCCTCTTAAAAGCTGTTCTAGGTAGGATATTCCACGTCGTAACAACCTTCTGTATAAAACAATTCTCCTCACCTCTCCTTTTGCTTATATGATAATTACTTTAAATATATGCCCTCCAGTGAGTTACTGACTAGTTGAAACAGATTCTGCTGGTTTATATTAGCAAAACCCTTCATAATTTTAAAAGGCTCCATTCTCCTCTCAACCTGCTATGTTTTATCCCTCCCCATTTTTGGACATGTAGACAAATGCAGAACTCCACTGAAACCAGCAAGTAAACAAAACAACAACTTGCATCATATAGCACCCTCCATGCAGGGTAGCGTCTCAGAACGCTTGTAAGTCTCAGAGCAAGTAATGGTATATGGGCCACATCCACCCACACTTCATTTCCTGCCAGAAAAATCCTAAGTCTATATTTCCAGAAGGAGATTTCTGGACTAAATTAGCATACAGCCAATAACTGCATTATTAAAAAGGAATAGGGCATTTGAAAACACAGCTGACAGTAGAGATAGGACTCCCAGCCCTGGAAATTAGCTGAGAGTAGATTGGAGCAGACTGATGAATACAATGCATGGCAACGGGAGTTCACTAATTTGAAATGGACCTTCTCTGAAAAGTCATGCAACAGGAAATAACCATCTCAATATGCAAAGAGTTATGATTAATATTTCAACAGGGATTAATAAACAATGTACAGTGAAGCCCAAATGAATGCAACTCTGATGTATGCAGATGTACAGCCTGTCCTGATTCTTTTACAGCAATGCAAATGTAGAACTCCAAGTAAATGTCTGATTAGATGCACCAATCTCGCCTTCCTTAACTAATCCACTGCATAAAACAAGGCTTTCATTATCAATGCATTTGGATGTTAAATGGTTCTCTGTTCCTTAAGAATTATGCTAATATTTTCTGATTTCCTTTGCACACCTCCCTGTCGATATAATGTTCGTTCTGCTTAAACTAATCTGCTCTGTAGCCTGTCCACAGAGTAAAAATCATGTACATTTTATGGAGGGGATGTCATCATTAGTCCAAGTTTTATTAATAATAAAGATAATAATACTTACATTTGATTTAGTGGATTTCATGTTGGGAGGACTTTTAAAGCGCTTTACAGAATATAGTGTAAAGTGTAATGACTATATTTTGTAGGAGAACACTGCAGTCAATTTGCACATAGCAATATCCCATAAATTGCCACAAAGTAAATGAACAATTTTATTTGGGGATTGTTGGTCAAGATATAGGGGGAAACTCTCTCTTTTCAAATAGTGTCATGGGAATGTTAACAATCACCTGAACAGGCAGATGGGCCCTCAGTTTATTGTCTTACCCAAAACACAGCACTTCTGACAATGCAGCACACCTCCAGCACTGGATTGGAGTGTTAGTCTAGACTTGCAAGTTCAAAGTCCTGACGTGGGCTTAAATGCACAACCTTTTGACTCAGAGGTGAGAGTGCTGCCAGTTGAGCAAGATCAACAACATTTTGTTACTAAATCCCAGCTTTCATACACTGTTAAACTCAGCATCATTTGCCTTCTAAACAGAACCTCTCTGGTAGCTTTCCCAAGTAAAATTATTTCTTATGTACTTACTTTTGGGACAACACAAAATTGATTCTGTCAATAATAGCATCAAGGGACTGAATAGTGGGAAAGCTCAAATGATTTTTCTTCTCTTCCCTAACCCCATTCAAACCATTTGTCTTGTCTTCATGCTACTCCACCCTGAGCCAGGTCATCCTACTGGTCTGCGTGGGTCAATTGCAAACCAAGTGAGTGGTGCTCAGTTCTCTAGGTCTTTGCAACACCTAGAGTTCCACCAAAGGTTAGGTTTACTGGCCTTAACTTTGGCGGAGCTCAAAGTATTGCAAAGACTTTACAGAGCAATCATCAAGAGGCACCTGCAGCAAACCTTGTCACAAAGTGTCCAGTTATCAGCTCCTCCAAAAATTCAAAATATGAACATTATTTATTATTTATTATTATTATTGCCTTTTTGAAGTTTCCTTGTACTTGTGCCTGTGGTGTGAATACTCTTCTGACACAGAGCAAATTTTATGAAACTCAGAGTATAATTAAAAACTTACGTGCTCAAGTCCTGTAAAAGAGCATCAAATATGATTTGTAAGGCACCTGAATACATGAAGGAGATGGGATAGAGGGGTAAGGCGGGGGGGGGGGGGGGGGGGAGTTCAGGGAGGGAGAATTAGGTTTAAGATGAGTGAAGTCTTATGTGGAATGTAAACACCAGCATGGACTAGTTGGGCAGAATGGCCTGTTTTGGTGCTGTAGATTCTATGCAATTCTATTTAGGTTTCTGCATCAAAAATATACATTAAACAGAAATCTGCAGTCAGCATACTATCAATGGTTTCAACCTCATATTTTTAATGGAATATTTTTATTCCTTTGTAGTCCATCTCATGGGGCTTGATTTGTGATAAAACACTGAACCGGAGATTGATTACAGTAAAATCTAGCCTTTTGATACTGCTGTTGAGGCAGTGCACAATGGCACTCTTGTGTGTGCATGTTCTCGTTTGTCTGGATTTTCAGTCGAGTTAATGGTGGCAGATGATAAGTAAGTAGCAGCCTCCTGCTGTTTGGAACCTGCTAACATTGAAGCTCTTAAAGGAAATGCACCACTCTTAAAGGAGAAGTACTACCAGTAGGATTCCTTTTGCCAATTAAAACAGTTCAAAAGAATCTAATCCATGTTATAACCCTGTTTTTTTTTCCTTTGAGAATGTATTTATCTAACAGCAAGTACTAATGAGAGCAGGTTAAGTGGTCAAGAAGAGCGAACCATCCCAGAGGTGACTCTGGCATTTATTTTAATCAAATAAGATATGTGTTGAGCTAACTCTAGTTACGGCCTCCTGCTGAGGCTGATGGATCTTCCCAGATGGGAGCCCTTCCTCATTGCCTCTTCAGAGAACATGGAGTGAGTGGTCTCCTTGCTTTTCTCCAAGATAGAAACTTACGTCAAAGCGATCAATCCTCTTACACGGAGAAGTGGGCACTGGGGTTTTCAGGCCACACAAAAAAATCAAAACACAATTGAAGAGAACCAAACTCTAAGAACATGCGGACAAACTATGAATCCAAACTGGAAGGACTTGATAAAACTTTGCAAATACATTCCTATCCACAAAGGTTGTGATAGTAGGGAGTGATATTAACTATTACAATACTGAAGAAGGCCATTCAACCTATTACCTCTGCACGGGTGCAAGTTTATTTAACTAGAGATAGCGACTCTAATCCCATTTCCCTGTTCTTTCTCCATACATTTAAATATTATCTTTTCCTCAAATATTTGTTCATTGCATTTTTAAATTATGTTATAGATTTGGTTTCAAAACAAGTGTAGTAAATTATTCCACTTTCTAACAATTAATTATCTTTTATAAAATAATTTCTTCTAACCTCGTCCCTCCTTTTTTTCTTTTGATAATCCTCAATTAATGGCCTCTTGTTCCTGATTTGCTGATCAGTAAAAAAATGAGTCTCTTTTATTTACCCTAACTAAACCAATCATAGTTTATCATTCAATCTTAACTTCATGTACCTGCTCCTCCCCAAACAGTTTGTTTCATCAATAAACATTCCCAACTTTTCAACTCTCTCCACATAACTATAACCTCATCCTTTGATGAATAAGGAGTTTTACTATTGTAAGGGACAACAGAGATTTGCAGCAGAGGAATAGAGAGAAAGCGAAGTCCAGGCCCATATCTAGCATGCAGCAGAATGGTAGAAGATCACCTGACTTGTCTGGATGCAATTTCCTTAAAGAGTCAACAACTCTGGGGATTTTTACCCCTTGGGACGACAGCCTGTGGAGGCTGAATCAATGAAGGAAGATTTAAAATGTTGATAATGGAAGAGGCAAAAATGCAACATAAAGAGTAGCCTTCAGTTAGTATAATACAGGGATAAATAGCCAGAGATGAGCAGACGTTTTATTCCTCTGTGGATGCCTTGTACAAGGCTGATATGGAGATGCTGCATGAATAGGATAAGGCAGCTCCAGGTGGCTTCCAGTGTTAAATGTAGATTAAAGTCAGTACAACTAATTTCTTTACTTTAATCTTATTAGAGTTACAACAGCTGTCAAGTGTCACCATTTGCACCCAAGTCTGAACTGACAAGCTCAAAGCACTCTAGCGATCAGGAACAGTTCATTCCTAGTTGTATTTCTCAAACTTATTGATTAAATTCAAGTCTTCTATTGATCCATTTTCATTTAAAAAATGTAGCAATGTGAAAATCAGATGATACACAGTTAAATAATCTATGGTCCCAATTCTCCTCCCTCCGTCCCCAAGAAGAGCATTACTCACTGAAATGATTCCACACAGACATGCACGCATTCCGTCCCACGCCAACTCTCGTGTCTTGACTAAACTCCTCTGGCACATCCTTGTGTAATATAATAGGGATTCAAGCTACATTCTTGAGAAAACATGAATACAACTTGGACAATTCATACTGATGTAGGTGACAGGAGTTTGGTTTATGTAGGTTTTGAATTATTACCTTGCACAATACTTAAGCGTACTTCTTTGTAACCCAACAAATTTATTTTTGACTAAACACAACAAACTTATTTTTTAACCCAAAGCCAAATGTCTCATAACAAGATCACCAAAAAAATGGATAAAGGAGACGCTTCGGCTCATATAATTTCATACTTCCAGAATATTAACTCTATCTTCTTACTCTATAATACAGGGGTAAATAGCCAGGCTTTCTGGAGCTGATGGAGATGAGCAGACATTTTATTCCGCTGTGGATGCCTTGTACAAGGCTGATATCACATCAAAATTGTGACATCAAAATCTTTCACAGTATTGTACGATCTTAACCTCTCTCCCTCTCCCTCCTTTTTCCAACCTGAAAATAATATAGTTACAATTGTACAATGATCCCTGGATACATCAGCTAATGAAGACCTGGTACATTTAGTTTCCATGTAATGACTCTTCTTCTATTCTCTCCCCGCCACCCCCCCAAAAGAAACATTTTTCTATAACTTCTGACAGAATTTGAAGTATATAGTAGTTACAATTGGTCTGTTCTATGCCAGTACGGATAGCAAGCAAGTTTTAGCTACAGGTAAATTTATGAACCCGTGGATTTTTAAAAAGATTGTTTTCAATGAAAAAGGTGCTTTTTCCCATCTGATCCCATCTGTCCAGAATACCCACCCTACCACCATAGCATCCAGCTGCTTTTAAATGTGTCCAGTGTCCTGGTCTCAACCATCTTGTCTGGCAATGGAATCTAAACTCAACTGATATCACAATATCAGCATCCTGTTTGTCTTGTTTATTGCTGCCTGATACTGTTTTGACGTAGTGAGCAATCAGTTAACTTTCACCCCTACCAAGGTTAGAGGGTTAGTCAGTTCGAAGGAAGTACATTTAAGTTAGTGCTGTAGAGCTAAACATGAGTGTTGGGAGAGGGTGGAGAGGAAAGGAAATAAGCTTGGTTATGTAGTCTGCAAGTGTAGCTACCTTCACAATAACACACATAACAGTTATTTGTCTGAGGCCGAATTTAGGAAAAGGAAACCAATTTCATTATGTTGTGATCAGCCAGTCTCATTAACAGGCTTATTAGTGTCTTAGTTACCAACAAAGTCACACTTTTCCCAGTTTAAGATGAAAGGCAAACATTTTCAATGTTAAGGTTCCAGCTTGGCAAACATTCAGGGAACCAAAATTTAGTGTTAAGTTTGATTATTTTTTTCAGCAGAAAAAACAAAGAGACTAATACGGGGTCACAAGCTGCATTATCAGAGTCCGTGAGCATGATATATTTATTTTATTTAGTAATAAATGCTAAACACTTAAAGACGTGATGAAAATTATGAGCTGTGACAGGAAAAAGCACTTGAGGACTGCCATGTGGGGCTTGCATACTTGACGTTAATTACATACACACACACCCACACACTTCTGACCCACTTTAAGCATGCAAAAATAAATGCAGTCCCAGGCGTTTTTGAAGTTAAATATTTTAAATAAATGTACTCAGCAATCAGTTGACATATTAACGGAAAGATTTATACAAAATGGAGCTGTACAGATTGCATTCTTTCAGCTCCTGTGAAATTTAATCACGTCGCATTTAATTGAATTAACAGGGGTTTCTAGACAGCAGTTTCATATCAATCTTACTGCGACACAGATGCAATATGCACTGCTAAAATAAAATTAAACACCCACTGATATGGTGTCATATTCTTCCTGTGAAATACCATGCATATCTCAGCATTTTCCACAGGATAAAATCTGTTAACAGACATAACAATAATACAATTACATTTGTAAAGCACCTTTAACGTTGGGAGGACATCCCAAAGCACTGAACAGTCAGGGATCAGGACCTGAGCGTGGGGGGGACAGAGTTGGGATGAGGGAAGGCAGAGAGGTAAGAGGGCGGCTGAAGGCACGGTCAAAAAGGAGGGTCTTGAGTCATGCCTTAAAGGAGGCAAGAGAGGGAGCAAGGCAAAGAGATTGTGGGATGGAGTTCCAAAGGGTGGGGACAGAAGCTGAAAGCCCGACTGCCGATGGTAGGGAGGGAGACATGGAGCAGGCCGGAGCCTGCTGAACAGAGGGAGCAGACAGGTTGATAAGGGGTTAGCAGGTCAGGATAATGCATTCATGCAACTATAAGTAGTTCACGAGTTTCATACCAATTTTTCACTGGCTGGCTCTCCAATGCAACACTGAGCTGGACCCTTGTTGTTTGAAGCAGCTGTATTTGGATGACATGTTAAACCAAGGTAAAGCTGTTGTGCACCACCAAGGTCTAAGTACCAACTTGAAACAAACAAAATTGCAATTATTTGATGAAATGCAGGCTATGCTGGGGTCTAATAAGCAGCAATTTCAACTGGAATTCTTTAATAAAGAAGCATGTCACTCCAACACATGGGTACTCTGCTCAAACACAACCTACTATTGAGTGGACGAAATAAGTCTCCACTCAAGATTTCCTATTAAGGAATCTTTTTAGAAACTGCTACATATTAGATTTCTAATTCTGTGTGATTTCTGAAGACCATTCTTACAAGAGTAGCCTGGAATAGTTGTGCTGAGTATTTCCTTCGCTTCCCCATCAGTGAGTCAA